TTTATCTTTTTAAAGAAAAAAATGAATGAAAAAATCGTTTTTACAGTATTTGCTGCCCTTACCTCGACCGATAGAGTCGGTTAATCGAATGGTATGTCTCGCCAATACTACTTCTAGCATCTGAATCCTCCGCGCAAAAAGGTCGTGTCCTGTCAATTTGAACTGCGTTCTCAGTGTCGTATTTGCGATGTCTGTGATCCGTGTTCTTTCGAGGACCTTTATTAGATACCCAGAATCGATAATGTATGACTTCATACGTCTGTGTGGGCTTAATATTTCCCAGTAGTACAGGAGGTTGCTGTACATCACTACCTTTTACTCAATAAGCTTCATGGAACGTCGGACCCTCCTGCTGGTCCAGGACACAAGTCCGCAGGCCGCAAAAGTTATACGTGACCTTAAAAGTCCTGTAGCAAATCCCCTGCGGGGAGCTGCCCCTTCGAGATGCAGTTATTTGGTACGGCTTTAATCGTGCCTGATTTGGAGGGCCGTGACGATGTCGCAAGTTGTTCTTCTGCGCGTGATGGTCTCGACCTTTTTGACTTTGGGGAACACCCGTCGAGGATCTTCGTGTCCACTGCCACGAAGGGAAGCATTTTGAGTTGTCTACGGGGTTTGGTGCTGTTTTTCTGCGCGGGATCGTATTGGGAAAAGCAGATGACTATTAACGCGGATGACTGAACATGTATCGTCAGTGAAGAAGAATGATACCACTCAGTGGGAGTTGGTCATATTAGGACGGCCCATCAACTGCCTTAGCAAGCAGTAGCTTGCAATTCACGGCCACCACCCAAGCAGAAAATCGATCGTCCTAAACGGACGAATAACACAAGCCGCCAAGGCGATCGATAATTCAGAATTTAAACCTCTGTCATCCACTCAGTCAATTAACCAATGGGACCAGTCACCATCTCAGGGTAATCTGATTGGCTCGGTGGACATCGTTATGCACGTTTGTTTCCCCTAATTTTACTGTACATAGGATAATCAAAGACTTCCGATTCTGTACACTTCGTGTCTTGTTCTCTCTTCGGGGACCCACACAGGACGTCACTGGGCAGCAAAATCTCGGCCTAGACACCCGTTATAACAGGTCACACCTAAGAGTTCAGTTAGGCAGGAATTCTCATGAAAAGTGACAGCCGTGCGGGCCATGGTCTGTTTGAATCATGCTTCCCCGCCTCAGTCTGTTAACAAGCGTAGTGCCCCTCCACCTTACCATTTATCGATGATACTTTGCTAGAGCAGAGTACTACTGGGAAGCGCACAGACAAATTTTCTTTCTGGTGCCATTGCCGCTGGTCTAAGTTACCAAGGTATTATCATGCTAATAACCAACACATACGACGCAATTGCTAAGATTAACGTCTCGGATGTGCCTCTTAAATCTGGGCTTGTCGAGCATTGCAGCTTGAAAACATAACCGTCTTAAGTTCAAGTTGCGCAAGAAAATGCTGCATAGGACGTTGGCTGACAAAGCTGCTCATCAGCCGATTTGCCATCCGGACTTTCGCAGGAGATGCTAAGGTCTTCTGCACCGCTGGTGGGAACTTGTGCATGGTCAGAACTTGAATTTATCGGAGCTTGGAAAGAAAAAAATGGTGGTCTTGTGTGGCGACCAGTATATAGGGTAAAATGGTCAACAATCATGAGTCCTAAATCACAAGCCAATGATGAGGTTTTTGGGGAAAAAGAACGTTCAAGCGACTCAGAGGCCAGCCACAGTAGTCACGCTCTCATGCAGAGTATTCGCGGTCAGTGCCCCCAAGGACCAATCAGCGAAGACTAAACTATCATTTGGCATCCAGCCAGCCAGCCATCAGGTCCGTGCTCCGGATCGGCACTGCTGATTTAATGCACGGACCAATGCGCACGAGACTAGATGTCACATGGGGGAGGGATCAGGGGATGCTGACAACTAGCGAGTCGTGACAGTTTTACTCCCATAAACT